CGTCAAGATCATCATCCTGGTCATCATCATGATCATGATCATGATCGTCACCATCATCGTCATCGGAAACATCCGAATCATCATCCACGTCATCGCCAACCGAATCGTCGGAACCATCGTCATCATGCGAATTGTCACAATTATCATCATCATCATGATCATGATCATCATCTGAATAACAGTCACGATCATCATCGTCATCATCATCTTCATCATCGTCATCATCCGAAACCTCCAAATAATCCGAATGATCATCAACATCATCATAATCAACATCATCTATATGATNTCATAATCATGATCATCATCATCATCATCATCATCATCACCATCATCATCAGCATCATAGTCATCATCATCGTCATCATAGTCCGAATCAACCGAAACATCAAAAAAATCAGCATCATTATCATCATCATCAATTCATCACAATCATCAACATGCGAAACATTATCATCATCATCAACATCATCATCATCATCATCATCATCATCGTCATCAACATCAGAATCATCATCTTCATCATCATCATCATCATCATCATCATCATCATCATCATCATCATCAACGTCATCATCCGAAAAATCATCATTGTGGTCGCCATCATCATCACAATCAAACTCTTCATAATCAACATTGAATTCATGATCATACGAATAACCATCATCATCACCGTGATCATCATCATCATCACCATAAACATCATCATCATCATCATGACCATCCGAGTCATCATCATCATCATCCTCCAAATCATTGGAGTCAGGATCATCATCATCATCATCATCATCATCACCGTCATTATCAACATGATCATCATCATCATCGTCAACATCATCATCATTCGAATGATCAAATGTTTCATCATCATCACAATCTTCATCATCATCATCATCATCATCATCATCATCACCATCTTCATCGCCATCATCATTCTCATCATCGCCAACCGTATCATCGGAACCAACGTCATCATGCGAAAAGTCAACATTATCGTCGTGAACATGATCATGATCATCATCTGAATAACAGTCACGATCATCATCGTCATCATCATGATCACCATCATCATCATCCGAAACCTCCATATAATCCGAATCATCATCAACATCATAATAATGAACATCTTCCATATGATTATCATCATCATCCGAAAAATCATCATCATCATCATCATCATAATCATCATCATCATCATCACCATCGTCATCATAGTCCGAATCAACCGAAACATCATCAAAATCAGCATCATTATCATCATCATCAACATCCTCATCATGAGAAACATCTAAATCATAATCATCGTAATCATCATCATCATCATCGTGTACCGAATAATCATCAGCCGAATCGCCGTCATAATCATGATCATGATCATCAGCATCATCATCATCACCATCATCATCAGCATCATAGTCATCATCATCGTCATCATAGTCCGAATCAACCGAAACATCAAAAAAATCAGCATCATTATCATCATCATCAATTCATCACANATCATCAACATCTTCATCGCAATCATCATCCTCATCATCGCCAACCGTATCATCGGAACCAACGTCATCATGCGAAAAGTCAACATTATCATCGTGAACATGACCATGATCATCATCTCAATAACAGTCACGATCCTCATCATCATCATGATCATCATCATCATCATCCGAAAACTCCATATAATCCGAATCATCATCAACATCATAATAATCAACATCATCTATATGATTATCATCATCATCCGAAAAATCATCATCATCATCATCATCATCATCATAATCATCATCATCATCATCATCGTCCCATCATCATCATCATCATCATCAACATGATCATCATTATCATCATCGTCATCATCATCATCATCATCATCATCAACATCCTCATCATCCGAAACATCTAAATCATCATCATCGTAATCATCATCATCACCATTGTCAAACGAATCATCATCAGCCGAATCTCCATCATAATCATGATGATGATGATGACCATCATCACAATCATCATGACGATCATCATCATCATCATCGTCATCATCATCGTCATCATAGTCCGAATCAACCGAAACCTCATCAAAATCAGCATCATTATCATCATCATCAAACCATCATAATCATCAACATGCGAAACATCTTCATCATCATCAACATCATCATCATCATCATGATCATCATCATCAACATCAACATCATCATCTTCATCATCATCATCATCATCACCATCAACATCATCATCATCAACGTCATCATGCGAAACATCATCATTATGATCGCCATCATCTTCACAATCACCATCTTCATCATCATCATTAAATACATCATCATACGAATCACCATCATCATCTACGTCATCATCAGCATCATCACCGTAAACATCATCATATCATCATGACCATCCGAGTCATCATCATGATCATCATCATGATCATCATCATCTTCATCATCATCATCATCATCATGATCATCATCTTCATCATCAACATCATCATACCAAACCT